TCACTTTGTAGCCCAGGCTGGTCTTGAACTCACAATAATCATCCTGCCTCAGCCTCCCAAGTGCTAGGATTACAGGCATTTGCCACTACATCCAGCTACATAGTGAGTTCAAAGCCGGCCTGGACTATAAAGCGAGACTCTGTCTCAAAAAACAAAACAAGGAGGGGCTGGGGATTTAGCTTAGAGGCACAGCGCCTGCCTGGCAAGCGCAAGGTTATGAGTTCGATTCCCGGTACCCAAAACAAAACAAGGGCCCTGGGATATTGGAATAAAAAAAAAAAAGCTGCAGGTAGAAGGTGATGATTATAGAGAAATAAATGTTTGGGAAGATGGAAACATTGTATATTTTAATTGATTGTTGTAGTAGGGCTAGGGATGTAGTTCAGTGGCTCAGTGGTAGGGCCCTACCCTAGCTTGTCTGAGGCTCTAGGTTTGATTGCCAGCAGTGAAAATATAGATGAATAAATAAATAACCATTGTGATGGCAAATGATTGTGTACTTTTGTCATAACTTATCAAATTGTACATCAGCAAAGAGTGACTTTTGGGTTGGGGATGTAGCTCAGTGGCACAGTGCCTGCCTGGCAAGCTTGAGGTCATGAGTTTTGGAGGGTGTTTTGGTCTTTTTTTTTTTTTTTTTCCGGTCTTTTTTGAGACAGGGTCTCGCTATGCAGTTCAGGCTGACCTTGAGCTCACTTTGTAGCCCAGGCTGGCCTCGAACTTGCAAAGATCCTCCTGCCTCAGCCTCCCGAGTGCTGGGATGACAGGCGTGCGCCACCATGCCCCACAAGGTCATGAGTTTGATTCCTAGTACCAAAAAAAAAAAAAAAAAAAAAGCAGGAAGACTGGGTGTGCAGTGTGGCTCAGGGACGGCCCTTGTGGAGCATGCACTGGCCCTGCGTTTGCTCCAGGGTCCTGGTTTGCTCCTGACCCGCAGTCTGAAAAGCACCAGGAGAGGCTGGCGTGTAGCTCAGTGGCAGGGCTGAGTGGCCAGCCTGTGGTAGTTTAGGCTGGCCTTGAACTCCGTTTGTAGCCCAGGATGCGCTCAGACTCAAAGCAGTCTTTCTGCCTCAGCCTCTCTCAGCATCCCAAGTGCTGGGATCACAGGCATGCACCACCACACCAGACCTCTGGGTTCTAGCTCTTGCACCAAAACCCAAATCAAACCAACCCCCTGGGAGAAATGGAGACAGAAGAGGAAAGAAGGCTGAATTATCCCTGGACATTTAGAATGGGAGATTTCATGCAAGGATTGAATTTGCTGCTGCTCTAGGGAATGTAAGAATCTGGCCCCGGAGGAGGCCAAGTCTGAGGGCCTGCATAAGCCAGCTGTCACGCCGGTCTCTCGGAGGTCCTTTCCCGGCCAGCCCAGTGCTGGGCACCCAGAGGCCACGCACCCACTGGCGACGGAATCTGGTTTAGGTGAGATGCAGAGGAATGGAAAGTGCAAGCCCGGAGTCCTGGGCGCGGGGAGGGAAGGTGAACAGTTGGGCGGGGAGGGAAATGACAATGAGAAACTGAAAAGAGAAAGGGAACAGAAAGCCACCAGCAGCAGGGTGGAATTGGGCCGGGGGCTGCCCGGGCATGTCCGTGCCAGGTGCCCGGGGCTTCCTCTTTCCCACGGGTCCATGGCCAGATTCGTGGGGAGCGCAGGCAGGGGTGGACGCTGCAGAGTGTGCGCCATCAGGGGCCCGGGTGGCAGGCGCCCGTCAGAGGGGCCACTCTGCTCTACGCGACTGGGGCAGTGTCTTCTGAGTCTGCAGTGATCTGTGTGTGAGGCTGGACTCGCGTGGTTTCAGTGTTTCTGGTGGCGCGCACGCGGGGCGCTTGTGTGAGTGCCCGTGGGAGTGGGGCTTGGATCGGCCCTGTGTCCGGGTGTCCCGGGGACAGGTGTCTGCCCAGCTCTGCCTGTGTGCAGGGGCGTGTCCAGCCGTGCCTGGCAGGAAGTCCCCTCCCTGACAAGCCTGCCCGTGTCCCCGGCCGGCACTTGTGTCCGGCGGAGCCTGGCCCGTGGGGATGCGTGTGAGCACAGCGTGCGGGTCCGGGTGTGCTCAGCAGCGTGAGTGTTTGTGCCACTACCTGTGTCCCTCTCGTTGTGACAGCCTGCGAGTCCAGGGACCCTGCTAGTGACCTGGTCTGTGTATTTGTGTCTGGGTGCGTGTGCGCGCCCGTGGGGCCGTGGCCGTGTCCGCACGTGACTTTGTGTACCTCGGCGCGCCAGCGGCCAGTGAGCCTGCGTGCGGCCCGGGTGCCTGTCTGTGGGTCCCAGTCAGTGTGTCAGTGTGTCAGTGTGTCCTGCCGTCCGCCGGCGCGCCTCCCCGCTCCGGGCCAGGCCCTGCCCTGCCCCCGGCTGCAGGGAAACCCCCCGCACGGAGGTAGGGGGCGCGGCGCGCGCCTGCAAGTCCCGACTTGTCCCCGGCGGGCGGGCCGGTGGCGTCACGCG